GGGGGCCCGAGTGCCCACATAATTTCATATCATTATTACCACATCAAACACTTCGCGTTCCACGCAAAAAATGCGAAAGACGGGTACCAAATTGCCCGACTAGGCCATCCACGCCTCATTTAAAATTCCAAAAAAAATTACTATCCACGTCATTGGCTCCATGGGTCTCAAAATTACCCGGCCAACATCGATACATCATTTATCGCGGCCACACTTGATTATACATGCGACTTCAGAACAGTTCTATTCAAAACATGCCCTAAAGTCGGGGGCCCACTGTTGCTACCAAATTTTGGCCTTGCCTATTAAAATATTACACGTGGATATATATTAATTATTTTAATTTAGGGCCCAAAAATAATACCGCTTGTGATAATATCGGGCCCATTAAACATATATATAAATACCCCGATGATGGACAACATCGAGATAAGTCTGAGTGGGCGTACTATTATTTTCTTTCTCTTATCTGAACGAAGCAAGGCGGTGCAAGGATCTTATCTCCTTCCTCCTGCTTCTTCTTCTATATTTTCATGAAATATACATACAAAAAATCACCAAAAAATCCTATACAAAAAATACACAATAAATTACTCTGAACCCCTCATGTTGATCAAATTTCGAGCATCAACATATTCCTTTTGAAAACCAGAAAGATCTTTGAACCAATATTGGTTAATAAAATTTAAAAATTGTAATTTAATTCTAGAGAATTTGTTGATAAATTTAAACGATAAGGTAACCGACAACAAATCTATAAACTTACAAGGTAGTATATGAAATATATAAGAGAATTTATTGTTTAATCCAAATTTGGGTTCCGAATTTAAAAGTCAAATAAATAATTATTCGTAATTTACGGGTCAATATATATATATATTTTTTTTGTCGAAACGATAGATAATTTATATAACAAACGCACAAATGTGCAATGGTACAACTTGGAGCGCAGCCCAAAGCTGAATAAAATGGGAGGACAGGTCTGATGACCGCCTAGAAGCCCGACACTAGCAATCGCTAGAAACCAAAACAAGGCACTCAAAACAACCACACAACAAACGCACAAAAAACCTACAACGAAAAGCTCCCCACAGGAGAATAGAGACAGGAGCTAGTCCCCACAGGACAATCAATTGCTCCCGCTCACACAGAGGCCAACGGCCCAAACCAAAAAGACAAGACATAAAGCACTCAGGTAAAGAACCCAGACCAAAAACACAAAACTAACACAAACTCAAGCAACAAATTAAAAGAAAACAAAACATAGCCTTTCCCCAGCAAAAGCGAAAGAGCCAGACCCGCAGTGAACGATCAACACAAGAAAGATTCCAGGCTCGAGCAACGGCTACCGAAACTGCGATAACACCTATACAGTAGAATTAGCCGAACCCCAAAACCAATCCCCGAATTGACTCGTTCCCAACCAAGAGAGCAACGGCCAGCCCCCACACCAGACCTACCCGAACTCGTCAAACACCACTAGCCGAGCTCGAGAGAACCCATCCCCCCGCCGCCTAACACCACTAGCCGCACAGGGGAGGGTAAGAGTGGCTCGTCCCCTCAACCCCAATCGCTGCAACAGGACTGCCGCAGCACTGGAGTCCCGCACCACCCATCAGCACACGCACCGTCCAAAACGGCCACAGAACACCAACGTCCAGAGGTCGGACACCGCCAGAACGGCAAAGCCCCATCGAAAAGGCGCGACCCATCAACCGCAGACAAAAGAAAATTGAATGGCTTACCTCCACCGAACAGCTCCCACCGGCAATTGAGGGAATCGCCAGCCAGACGCCGACCAGGAGGGTCGTCACAACCAACCATAGCCCCGTCTACAACCAATTGAAAGGACCTCCGACCGCTGAGCTTCCATGGCCATCTCAGGGGCGCGCGTCACGAGAAGGGGAACGGGTGGTCAAAGACGACCATGGGCCGTGACATCTCTGTCACCGGGGAAGCCGGAGCGATCTGACTTGGACGAAGCGCTGATCGGATTTGGGGGAAAGTTCGAATGTCGCAACTAGGTTTTATTAAATTTTATACTTATATGATTGATCGGATTTGGACGAAGCGCGATGGAGCTTGCAGCGGGTTCGCCGGCGACGGAGCTGAGGTCGCGTGGATGCGGCAGAGCTAAGGACGACTGGACGGCGGCGAGGAGGCTTCGCGAACGGCGGCCAGAGGCTGAGAACAGCGACGGGGGGCTGAGCTGCGGGGCTGAGGACGGTGAGGTGCGAACGGACCGGCGGGGCGTGAGGTGGTCGCCGGAGCTGGTTCGACGGCGGCGTGAGCTTGCCGGATTTGTGAGGTGAAGGAGTGAAGATGATGGGTGAATGATGGATCTTGAAAAATGAAAGATGGAATGGTGATGGGTTGAAGAAGATGATGAATAGTAGAGTGATGATGGCTAGGGTTTCTTGTGTTTGTTGGAAAAAGGGGAACAAGACAATATATATAGGCCTCGTTTACTTTGCGTGACAGGATTAGATAAAATAATCCCAGCAACTTTACACGTCAGCTTTTAGTGAAACAAATCCCTCATTTACTTCCATGGACTATGTGATAGGATAAAAAGGCAAAAGACTCATATACCCTTCTCTACACACGTATGCATCTCGCCCGACATTATCCTTTCTTCCTCAAAATAAAATGTGCCCCTCTTTCTGAAATCTCGCCTGAAATTGAAATCTCGCCCCTCTTCCTAAAAAATTTCGCATCTTCAAATTTGAGTTCAACGACGAGTGCACGATTATGGGTGTTTTAAAGTGCGGGACGAGGACGACGTTCCGAAATTGTAGTTGTGTGTGCTCGGCTGTGTTCGGACGGCATTTCAGGGACGACGGGCGAATTATAGTGGTGGCCTTCAATTAGGGTTTCTGAAAATGGATTGCTTATACAAATTGTCTCAATAAATTAGGGCTTCTTAAAATCGAATTCATATACAAAGCAAACAAACACAAAATCGCAGAGGCTTCACTCAGATTTACAAAATTAGTGCATCCAAAAAGAAAGAAATAAAAAAAAATCATACAAAGGCTTCATATCCTAAAGGGTGGACAAATCTCATTTGACGAACAAATACCATTTCAAAAGCTCAGTACGGGATCGGAAATAAGAAAAATAGCCAAAATGGGAACTTAATCATACCTGTTGAGCGCTCGAGAGAGATCGTAAGTCGGAGGAAGACGATGAACACGGGAGAGTTTCTCTTTTCTGCAAAATAGCCAAAATAGCTGTTTCTTTTTTTTTTTAATATGGTATAAGGTGGTAAATTCAACTACATTAAGGGGCAATTGTGTCTTTTCGCAGACAATTTTGAGGACAAAATGGTCCATCAGAACAAGGGATAAAAAATCTTGGGGTCAAGCCGGGATTAATTGTATCGGTGAATTAAGGATAAACTGCGGGACCCGCAAGCCACATGATGGCCACGTAGGATCTGGCCAATCCCAATCCTGTGAGGTAAATGGAGGATATGGGGTGATATATTTAGTTATCAAATCCCATCCTCCGAAGTAAACGTGCCCATATAGGAGTGGAGAGGAGTTTAGGGTTTTCTTGAATTTGGGCCTAAAAATCGGGCCTAACAATTTACTAAGTCGGGCTCGGTTATTAGTCGACTATTGGGCTCGGATTTAAAAATTGACTATGTACTCGGGCTAGAAAAATAGAAATCCTACGCTCGGTTAAATAAAATTAATCGAGCTAGGACTAATTAAATTAGTCGGTCGAAATAATTACTGATAATAGGCCGGCTAAAATTATTGGGCTACTCGAAAATGGTTGGGCTCGAATAAATTAAATATTCGGGCTTTGATCCGCTTAAATAAAATTCCGATTGATCCAAGACTCGGTTTTAAAAATATAACCGATACTTGGGCTAGATGAATCCGACTTTAATAATTAAAATCGAATGAATACTCCATGGCTTAGATTTTAATTCTAATTATTTAATTTAATGCAATTAATAAAAATAAAAATGCATCAAATTTAGAAACTTAATATTTATGGAAATATAGTCGAGCTCCATAAATAGTAAATAAAAATCTGGGCGTTACAATTTGTCTACAGAATAATTATGTCTACAAAATGATTCTTGGAGCCACAAATTTAGGACGTTTTTTTTTTAGATTAGCATAGCACTATTACTTTTTAATTATTATGAGAGTTAATTTTCAAATTATATACCAAAATTCTTCAATTTTTTCAATTTCATTTTCCGGCCTGGAATTGTGTTTGGAAAATATAATTCTCCAAAAGTCTTATCAAAGATACTTTTTGTTATTTAATATTAATTGGCATATTTAAAATGTGCTATAATCATGGATATTAAATTTTAATAATTAAGTCTATATCATGATTTTCTTTGACTGAACATCAAGAATTTTTTGTACTTTATATTTCACGCTTCATATATTTTATGATTTGCAGCTTTAATTTGATAATTACTACTTATTTGATATGTAATTTTTTTCTTTTTGCAGGAATTGCATTGCAAACACTATTGCTGAGAATGAGTTTTTAAATTTTTTATTCATTTATAATTTGTTTTTATGTTGGTTGTATTTTCTTTATTTAATTTTTATTTGTTGTTTGTTAATTTATTTCAAGATACTATGCATAACAAAATAAATAATATACTGAGCAGACTAATTAATTGTTTAAAAAAATATGTGAACATTTTTAATAACTCCAATTAATGGCAGAATTGTTTTGTTTCCATGTTTATGCATTTATTCATTCCCAAAATTAAGCTGTTCTTGAATGAAGAAAATAAAAAAACAAAAAATAAATAAAATGTAACTGAAATGGGCGGGAAATGAAAAAAGTGTCAGCTAGGTAAAATTAAATAGGTTTTCTTTAATATTTTGAGCTAGTAATTATATATATATATAGATTTTTACTTCATTATGTACATTGATATAATTACTCAAATTATCTAAAATTATTCGTATTTCTTTCACTATCTATCATTCTCGACGATAATTTCTCTATAATCTACCACTCACTTACATGGCGTGCTATAAATATATTTACCTGACCTAACTGGCATAGCGGCATGCTTGTTCATACAACTGCCCTCATTACTATGTGTTTGTAATCAATATTTTATTTCGTTCAACGCGTATATATTAAATATAATTGACTGAAATCATTATCTTTTACAAACTCAAAGTACCATATATTCCTACTTCTGAAATCTATAAGCTCCCCCTTTTCTCACCATCTTCTCTGTCTCTCTGGTTGATATTTTCTCTGTTGTTTTCCCTCTCTACCAATGGCTGCCGCAGAGAGAGAAACCGCCGCCATCGACATCCCCACAGCACCGCAAGTATCCGCCGACGGCGATGGAACAGTACAAGCATCACCGGGTGTTACGGGATCACACACTCAGCAGGTAATTGAGATTTTTTTTTTCTTTTTATAACTAAAGAAAATTCTCAGAATTTGAAATTATTGAAGGATTATTTTGAAATTTGTTTCTTTATTTATGGGTTCTGCCCTGAATCAATTAGTACTCAATATACTTGTGATTGTTGACTTTTTTTTTTTCTTTTTTTTCAGTAATTGCGTTTCTCATACTTTCTCTGAATAGAAGCAAGGTAGAGACAAATGAGTGGCGTGCGTATAACATTATTAGATAGATATATGGGTTCAATGGCATCATCTAACAGTAAAATATGAGATAGAATAAGTCCAGCAGGCATTTTCTCATTAGTTATAATCTTATCCCAAATCTCAATATATATATTTATTCTGGTAAAAGATTTGGTGCATCTCCCCCTATCAACTGCTTCACAAATTAATACGGTCATGTTTAGCAGCTGGGTTTTGTTGACCATTTTAATGATAAACCAGTATATGTGGATAACTGGGATAGGGTCTCTTTAAGCATTTTGTCAAGTTGATATATACCCAGAATAAATATGTGTGTTTTTAAAAAGATATTATTTTATAACAATCATTGGTTGTAATTTTCTAGTAATTTAAGGGATGTTTGGATGATAAATTTCTTTTTGCGGTGAGATACAAAATTTATTATAAGAAAATGGTCAGTATAATGTCAACTCATCCGACAAAAGTTCATGCATATAGTTTTTAATGGAAATGCTATGGAGCCAACCGTTGGCTCAGAATCCGTTTTTCAGTCAAGTTGACTCCATAACGGAGCCAACAGTTGGCTCCATAGCAGGACTGTAGTTTTTAAATTAAAAAAAAAAAGTTGAATAATTTAATTCTCAGCCAATGTAACAAATTATTTAATTTATTTTAGTGTAAAGTATTTAAATATTTGGTTTTTTTCGGAAAACTGGATTATATTGTTTCTTGTCCTGTTTTTGGGAGCTCGAGCACAGAGCATTTCCCATAAGACCACCATTTCTCCAAAATAAACTTTCCAACTTCCAAGACTCCAAGTTCGTGTCATTATGTATTTTTGAAATAGAATGCGCGTAAATGGGCCCCTATCAGGTTTGATCTTTTCAAACATCACAAAATAAATAATATCCAAGCTTCTTGAAGTTTGACTGACTGAATTTTTTTCTTTTCCAATAACTAAGAATAAGAACAAGTGGTAAGCATAGTTTCACCTGTTCTTCCTCTTTTAGTCAGAGGATTTTCACGTAATCAAGCTATTTTTCTCTTTTAAATATCCAGATAGATCTGCTTTACAGTCGGACTCCGTTATAGATTTCTATTACTATCCCAATTTTATAAGTCTTCATAAATAGAGTCCAATTTAATTTTATAGAAAGACTGCATAATTAATCAAGTGCAAGTTACCCACGCCGGTATATTCCGTTTGAACTTGAATTTAATGCCAGAAACCGGGAGACCCGACTGGCGAGTCCGAAGCTCCTCCATCTCCAAACATCAAACACGGCAAGAAAATCCCTCTTCTTCCCCTCGTCTTCATCATATTCTACGAAGTCTCGGGAGGACCCTTTGGCGTGGAGGACACAGTCAACGCCGCTGGCCCACTTCTGGCCCTCATCGGCTTCCTTATATTCCCACTCATATGGAGCGTCCCGGAGGCCCTAATCACCGCCGAGATGGGCACCATGTTCCCCGAAAACGGTGGCTACGTGGTCTGGGTCTCCTCCGCCCTAGGCCCATTTTGGGGATTTCAGCAAGGCTGGATGAAGTGGCTGGGTGGGGTCATCGACAACGCCCTTTACCCCGTCCTATTCCTCGACTACCTCAAATCCGGAATACCCGCCCTCGAAAGCGGCTGGCCCAGGGTCATATCCGTCATTGCCCTAACCCTCCTCCTAACCTACATGAACTACCGCGGCCTAACCGTAGTCGGCGCCGTCGCTATTGCCCTCGGCGTATTCTCCATTCTACCCTTCCTCGTCATGGGATTCGTCTCCATACCCAAAATAAAACCGAGAAGATGGCTAGCCGGAGACATTCGCCACGTCGACTGGAATCTGTACCTCAACACTCTCTTCTGGAACCTCAACTACTGGGACTCGGTCAGCACCATATCCGGCGAGGTCAAAAACCCAAAAACGACCCTCCCGAAGGCCCTGTTTTACGCCCTCGTCTTTGTCGTCCTTGCGTACTTATTCCCACTGCTGACTGGGACGGGCGCCGTTCCCCTGCAGCGGGAGCTGTGGACCGACGGATATTTCGCTGATGTGGCGGAGGCCATCGCCGGCTCGTGGCTCGGGTGGTGGGTCCGGGCGGCGGCCGCCGCCGCCAACGTGGGCATGTTCGTGACGGAGATGAGCTCGGACTCGTTCCAGCTGCTCGGGATGGCCGAGCGCGGGATGATCCCGGAGCTCTTCGCCAGGCGGTCGAGGCACGGGACCCCGACAGTCGGGATCCTGTTGTCTGCCTCGGGTGTTTTCGTGCTGTCGTGGATGAGTTTCGACGATATTGTGGCGGCGGAGAATTTTTTGTATTGTTTTGGGATGGTGCTGGAGTTTGTGGCCTTTGTGCGGCTTCGGATGGTGGCGCCGAGGGCACAGAGGCCGTACAGGGTGCCAGTGGGGACTGTGGGGGCTGCGCTCATGTGTGTGGCTCCGACGGCGCTTATATGTGCTGTGCTTTACTTCTCGACGCTTAGGGTTTTTGCGGTGAGCGTGGCTGCGATTGTGGTCGGGCTCGTTTTGCAGCCGTGTATGAGGTATAGTGAGAGGAAGGGGTGGGTTAGGTTCTCGACCAGCCGGGACCTTCCGGATTTTCGGTTGAGGGAAGGTCGTTGAAAGCTTTGTTGATTGTTCGTGCTTTAGGTTAGATGAGTATAACTTATACAGAAAATGTGTTCTTTTGCTTTTGCTTTTTTTTTTTCCTCAACAAATCCGTTTTTTAAGTAGTTTGAACTTTGAAATTGAAAGTAGTGAAATTTCGATTTTCCTTGCAAACAGATACATCAAAGTTGATGTACAGAATTTACAAATTCATAAAAAGAAAAGTCCAATAATCAGTGGGTTATGGTTTTCTCCTTTTCTTTGTTCATCTGGTGGAAGGTGTTCTGATTCATGCAGTTTCTTCTCTTAAAAGAGGCCATGTATTTTTGAAACATTCATCAACCGCAGGTTCTAACCGAACTCACTCAACTTACATAAGGCTGGAGTTAATGTGTTTTTTCACTCATTTTTAGAAAATAAACAGTGGCCTCACTATATTGCAGAGAGAAGAAAGAGCTCATCATACATATGTATTATTCTCCCTCTGTTACCTGAATATCAGAGTGAAATAACACTATAAATAAATGGTTCAGGATGATGAGTTTAGTTCAAATTATGAATGGCGGAAAGAAAATGCACAAGGATTTGTTTACACTGGCAAGTTTACAACCTTTCAGCTCCGAGGGCTGATAAGAGCATGCCCTGTCTTCAAACCCGAGCACGATTCGACATATCCCATCATTCAAGTCAGACTCAAACCTAGAACAAATTTTCTATAGAATCACTAAAAAAATTCTAAAATTAAATCCAATTCTCTCCAACAGTACATAAGCATTTCCACAACCTCATAAGTAGCAGATACCAGTTTCTATCTTCAACTCATGCGAAACTTCAAGGCACATCTAGTTGTGCAAAACAAGAGGTAATTTATTTACTTTCTCGTACCATAGAAAGATCTACCGCAGTTTCATAATTTTTCAACTTCCCAAAGATAAAAATCTCTAAGAAACTTGGTACACTAACCAAAAGCAACTACAACACACCTCATCACATAGACAAACAAACAGTAAGTAACATATCTAAAAACAACTCTTCCTCTAAAATTATTACTCCCAGCATGAAAATCAAAGCAACACATTCTCGAATCACAATCCCCACACAACCTCATATGCGGCGTTTCTTGGGGAGACGGCACCCATTGTGCGGCTTACGTGTCGTGTCCTCAAGATACACGACAGGGTTCACATCACTCCTCGAGTTAGAATACCCATCCCTGAAGCTCAGAATCGCGTCCTTCTTCCTCCTGAAAAACGTGAACCCGTTCACCTTCACAACCACCGACCGAGTCTTCATCTGCCTCACCTTCCGCCCCGCATTCTCGGCAGCTGCTTCCCCCGAGTACCTCCCCACCTTGCCGCCCTTCCCCGCCAGCTGTCCAGCTGTGACCCCAAACTTCTTGTTCCCCTTGGAGTCCGTGACCGTCACAAAGGCGTTGTTGCGCATCAGCCTGATGTGGACAACGTCCGCATTTGCCTCCAGCTGAAGGGGCTGCTGGTAGGGCGGGGCCCGCCCACCGATGCTGGTCCCTCTCTGCTGGGGTGGGGCCCGCCCATTCAAGCCATTCCCCCTCTCGTGGAGCAATCCCTTGACGTAGTCCATGGACCGGAGGAGAGGGGTTCTTCCAGCCTCGTCTTCAGCTGGTTTCCCGGAGTTAATGGGTCTCGTGAGATTTAGAGCGTGTGTCGGAGTGAGATTATTGGATACACTCCCATAAATTGAGGAATGGGTGAGGCCTGCAAATTATTGAAGTAGTAAAATTATCATCAGATTTGGGAAAAGGTCATTGTTTTATTAAAAATCACAACTTCACAAAGTTCTTGATTAGTGAGACTTGTCGCGTTATATGATGAAAATGGCGATGGGGAGAGGGATGCAGAACGTCCAACAAACTTTCGAGGGTTAGCCTGCGTTGTACTTGAATTTTTGGATTGGAAAAAATGTAGTGCAGTTAAGATGATCCATCTGCAGCCCTCGATTCTAAATAGAATAAGGAACCTACTAACAAACAAACACTCAGAAGTGCCTCTATTACAGCATCACTCTGTCTTAAATACACACACCAGGTGGTATAGCTGAACAACTTTTGGTTATAGTCTCCAACAGATCTTTTAACCACACAGTGACATTTCCAAGACTTGTAATTATGTCCTTCCAATCAACTTTTGTCCTTCGGATTTGGGTTATATTTCTATCACAAAATAAAAAGTTAAAAGACAACATAAATGTATACATATATGTTATGTCATGTATTAGCTACGCCGTGCTTAAAAGGTACAAAAGAAAAGAGAAACATCAGCCTATTCATGTGATAAATTAGAAAATTAAGATACAAACTTACAATTTCAGCACACAAATTCAAACTTATTCGTGGCAATTTACGAAAATAGAACAATTCTCAGCAAAATGGACTGTAAAGAAAATGGAAATGAAGAAATATATAAACCAACCTGTATAGGCATGGCCATTCTGCGGAATCTGGGGAAACGCATGGATTGGCCTACGAGATCCAAGGGCCCCAGAAGCTTGTCTGTGAAACTCAGCCAGCAGCCCCGACCTGAGGAGGGTCCTTCGAAACATCGTCCGCAGATTAATTAGTCTGCAGCAACACTCGAAAAATGGGCCCAAACATGCTATGAATAAAAGCTTTTTTATCACAGGACAATGCACAAAAATGATATATGAAAAGTTGATGTATATAATCATCAAAAACAAAAACTTAAGGTATGATACAAAATTCATTCGAATTTAAATATCCTGCAAACATAGAAGAAACCATTCAATCCAAAACCTCGCGCTTCGACAAATTAAACAGAACAAAACAAATATCTATCACACATTTCAAAATATTAGCAAAGCAATTGAAGATCCCACCACAAAACACACACACACACAATCCCCAGCCCGTGGAAATACAACCTCTCAAGTTACAGTTCTAAAAAAAAAAAAACATGGAATTTCGGATTCAGACTATATGAAGTTGGAACTGACCAAGTTCTTCGTGTAGGCTTCGATTTGGGTCTACCGACCGGAGATGGACTGTGGAAGCTCCTGATGCGTCGATAATTCCGTTTTTTTCTTGTCCCTTCCCCTCTTTTATTTCACCCTTTTTTTCCCCTCGAAAAGCCGATGGTCACTCACTTATTCATTGTTTGGGCTTTCTCACACCATCAGAGATTGGGCCCTATATTTCCTTGCCTATAGAAAAAGGTTGGGCTCAGTGGGCCTTCACTTATCTGAAAAGAACAGCCCATGTTCGACGATCCAAATACAATCCCAACCCTACAAAATTTTTATATCTTCTTTTCCTCTCTCTCACTCACACACAGACACGGAGCTATCAATCATGGGTTCACTCACACTTCACACGCCCCTCAGCCACCACTACTCCGACCATGGCCGTGGCCTATGCCACACCCGCACTCGACGGCCGGCCACCATCTTCCTCCGCACTCCTGAATTAGCTACGTCCTCCCCGCCCCTCACTTGCTGCTCCATCAATTCATTCCGCCACCACCAAACCCTCGCCTCCGCCCCGCAGACTCCCGCCACCGCCATGCGCGGCGCGGAGACCGACGCAATGGGTCTTTTGCTCAAGGAGAGGATAGTTTACTTGGGGAGCGACATCGATGAGGCTGTTGCTGATTCGATTATAAGCCAACTACTTTTGTTGGATGCCCAGGATCCCACAAAAGATATTCGGCTATTCATCAATTCCCCCGGTGGCCCACTCAGGTGTGTTTTTCTACTGCAGGTTCTTTTTAAGAGATTCTCTTATACTGTTATTTCTCGTTTTAACTTAGTCTGAAATGGTGATGCTGTAGTTCTGCTCGACTTTTGCGAATTTGTGGTTTGTTGTTTATTGTACGTTTCCCGGGGTTCAGCGAGTTGAATATGCTATCTTCCCAGTGAACTCTTCTGTTGGTGTAAAATTGGTATAAATTATGATTTTATGTGTACGAAGGAGTGCATTCTATTTGGACTGGGCAATATGATCTATAGAAGCTCTATTTCACACTGAACTTGTTGTGGATGTCTTGTTCTATATTAACTTTCCTCATTCAAAGACCTTATACTATTTGAAATCCTGAGTTGGTCTTTGATGGCTACTAGCTGAAATAGAAATGCAGCAAACTGACAATGTTCTTTGAGTGGGACAAATGTGTACCTTCCTAAAGCTTGAGGAAAATCCTCCACTTCATCAGTAAAATATATCATCCTTATCTACTCTCGAGGTCTTTATATACCTTAGGTCAACAATACTTCCCCACAGGTCATCACAAATGTCTAAAGGTCAATAACATGTAGACTACCCACATGCCCATCATATGTATATTGTCTATAGGTGATCACGTAAACCACGCACAAGTAAATCAAATGCACTGCCCACATGTCCGTCAATCATATAAACTGCCCACAGGTCCATCATAGGCTTTGTCCATAGGTCAATAACATGCCTTAAAACACTAGGAGGTATCACGAGCTACCACGAGGTCTCTACCTCTCCATTTATTAAAAAGGTCACCGTATATTTTTCGAGCTACAAGGTCTTACAACCAATTTACCCGAGCTACATGAGACCGGTCCACCTGAACTATTCTATATGTTATATCAATATTAACAATAAAAATTAATCTCTTTTGCTGTAGTATATATTTAATGCTCATAAAGAGGTACTATAAGCACTTTCTGTTAAACTTAAGTTGAACAATCAAGTCACTTGGCGGACACCTTTTTGAAAAACTAAATTCACAGGATACTGGTAAATGTCAAGTGAAATGTGGTTTAGTCAATACTCTTTCTAGTGGTTTGGTTAACTCGTTCCATTTTAGTTCATCTGGTATGTGTTGTATACTATGCTTGATTCTTACAGCATGGACTCTTGTGGCTGTTAGATATGATATTAACATGGGTATTTATGGTTTAGGACTATAAACCAAACAAGCTACGTGATGCATGCTTAGGGTTGTGATTGACATTTGGGTTGTTGTGATCACTCTTTATGCTTAGAGATTGGAAATGAGGTGGACTTCATTGGTATATGTTGATCAGACAAATATATGTGCAAAGGGAATTACGGGAGACTAAGTCTACTCATTTAGTTGGTCCAACCCACTCTGAATTCTTTTGTTGTTCTGCTGCTTTTACCCTCTCCTTTTATTTGTACTGAGACATTGGGGGAATTATGAAAGTAAGTGACCACATAAACCATAAGCTCTGTGGGCTTCCCCTTCTCTTCATCCAACTCAAAATTGATGCTTTCCCTTACAGCAAAATCGTATTTCGAATGCCTTAAAAACCCTATTGGTGAGAAGCGGTTCGTAGATTAGCTCGTTAGTTATGGGAGCATCCAAAAATTTGGAGCTACATAACTGATGAACAGCTATGTATGTTTGAGGAATTAAAACCTAACTGCAGATTTTGCGTAGCAGATGTTTGTTTTGGACAACGGAACTGGGTTGTTCATTTTTTTCTTGTGGTTTTGCTTTTGATTTTTTTCCCGTTAATATGGATAAAGTGTGGTAACTAAATCAACTCCTTTGGATTAATGCATCTAATAGATAAGTTTCAACCAATAGCCCGTGTTGAATTGATGTGATAATCTTAATTTTTTAGCAATGGGAGCAGCCAAACTAAGGGGGTGACTGGATATGAATTCAACTAGTAAAAAATTGATTTTTTTAACTATAGTTAAGTTTGAAAAAATGTGGTATGGTTAGTTGTTAGTGAATATATTAAAATATTATTTAAAATAAAATAATAATTTTATTTGACGTAAAAGTAAGAGAAAATAATTGGAAGTGATGATTAGTTAAAATTATGTGAGTGGATGAATAGTGAATTAAAGTTGATGTGATGTGTAAGATGATTGGTTGATATTATTTAATTATATTGATAATATTGAAAATAGTGGTGTTGAGTTAAATTTGATTTTTGATTGGTTTTTTTACTGTGCAATCTATATCCAAACGCCCCCTAAATGATGGATATTGTTTCTTAAAAAGCTAAAGTTTGTCGCAGCTGAGGCTGATGTGCTGCGGCTGGTTTAACTTGGTATAAAGGCCCTATATTTACTGTTTTAGTTCCATATATTGGATGACTTATTCAATTTCAGAATCAAGGCTTATTAAGTGATTTTACATTTTTGTTCCTGTCGGGAACAAATGAATCCAGTTGTTTATTTCAAGATAATTTTTTATTTTTTCAATTCTTGAAGTATTCAAAATGTGTGTACATAATGGACTCCAAATCATTTATGCACACGTCTGTTACCTGTTAAAGGAAGTTTCAGTTGCTACTTATTAGCTGCTGTTCTTTACCCAATCATGGCTTCACATTCTTAGTATCTTTTGGACATTTAATTGTTTGACGCGTCAGTGCAATTATGTGATCAATGATTATTTCCATAAAATATTGTAAGCAGCCAAAGTTATTGGCCTAATGTCATCTACACTGATGTACTGTGGTCTTTAAGGGAGGAAGGTGGGGGTTTCCTTTCCTTTAATCCATGGCCATGACATAACCTCATGTTCATTTTTTGGAAGTAAAGCTTATCAATTGGTTTTATGTGTCTTTTGCTGTTGGGAACAATTGAGACCCGACTTGTTTATTTTAATTCGTGTTTGGTGTTTACCTTGTGTGAACTGCGCCACGTGCCTTTGGTATTAGTACATTCAAAAGGGATGTTCTAGCTCTAAGCTCTTTTTAGGCTTTCTCATATTAATCAATCGTGGCTTGCGTCTACTAATACTTTTGAGTTTCGACACATCAGATTGGCCAACATGATAACTTCCATCAATAAGATACGAGCAGGTCATATGATCAAATGGATATAGCTAAAATCTAGGCACTTTACTTTCTGTATCCTACCTTTATCCATAACAAAGTCAATTAGGCATACATTCAACCTTTGTATCTTCCTGTTAATTCATGAGCATAATTCACATTCTCTCTGACATAATTAACCACATCCATTTATGTTATACTTGAGATTTTTCCTGACGAAAGAATTGAACAACGAATTACCACTTGTTTCTGGAACTTTTTTCTAAAGTGCTACCCACTCTTTTTCAATGCTTCTCGTCAGAAAGTTATCTGTTGTTCTGTAAACTTCCTTTGTATTATATAAAATACCTCACGTAAATTACTTAAGCAAAAAAAAAAATATAATTTTATCATATTCCCATATTTTCCTCTTCAACTTAAATACATAAAAATCAAAAACATTTTTTTCGGTACACCTCACAGCTCCGCTCTGGCCATATTCGACGTCATCCGCCTACTGAGGGCGGATGTCTCCACTGTGGCGCTCGGCTTCTTGGCTTCGACTGCCACCATAATCCTCCTCAGCGGGGCCAAGGGCAAGCGGCTGGCAATGCCGAACACGCGCCTCATGATACACCAGCCCTTCAGCGGGACCAGCGGGCCAGCCAGGGATGTTGAGGTCCAGGCCCGCGAGGCCATGCATAACAAGGCCACCGTTATACGCATCATATCAGCATCCACAGGCCGCCCTTACGAACAGGTGGAGAAGGATATCGACAAGGACTTCTACATGTCGCCCATTGAGGCCGTTGAGTACGGGATTATTGATGAGGTGATAGATCGGGACACCATTATTCCGCTCGAGCCCATTCCGGAGGAGGTCAAGTCCTCCGTTATCACCTTGGAGACGCTCAAGAACCCGAGGAAGTATTTGATTCCGGAAATCCCAGATGATGAGATATATTAGGTGAGTGTTCTAAGTGTTTTAATGTCGGGCGGGTGGTATTATCCATTAGAACTGGGTGTACGTGTTTGTAAACAGCTGCGTTTATTTATTTATTTATTTATTTTCAGTTACTTGTTTATGGTCGTGTTTGTACTTCATTCTCGTTGAGTCGCATTGACCGCGTTGACCGATGCTTTTGCGTGCAAGTGTTATCTTACTGAGATCATGATTGCATAGGTTTGTTTTATCGGGCAGTGTTTTGGCCTCCATTCGTGTGAAAATGCTATATAAAAAAAAAATATATATATATATAAGGATTGGTTCCAATGCATTCCATTATTTAAAGTGAGGACGTGAGACTCATTCCTAGTCACAAGATTTAGATCTTGATTTAAATAATAATTCTTTATTTTTATTATTTAATTCTTTATTTTTAATTATTTAAATACTATTATGACCATTGATCGTTGACTTCCGACGTTGACTGTTGACTCCAGCGTTGACTTTCGACGTTGACCGTTGACCATTTGTCTTTTGTTATGTTATTTCTTTCTTGCTAGGTTAGTTATTTGTAGCTGCTAGGTTAGTTGAGTTTTGTTGCTAGGTTAGTTGTCTTTTGTTGCTAGGTTATTTTTTTCTTGCTGCTAGGTTAGTTGTCTTTTGTTGCTAGGTTAGTTCTTTCTTGCTGCTAGGTTAGTTGTCTGATGCTGCTAGGTTAGTTGTCTTTTGTTGCTAGGTTATTTTTTTCTTGCTGCTAGGTTAGTTGTCTTTTGTTGCTAGGTTAGTTCTTTCTTGCTGCTAGGTTAGTTGTCTGATGCTGCTAGGTTAGTTGTCTTTTGTTGCTAGATTATTTCTTTCTTGCTGCTAGGTTAGTTGTCTTTTGTTGCTAGGTTATTTCTTTCTTGCTGCTAGGTTAGTTGTCTGATGGTGTTAGGTTAGTTGTCTTTTGTTGCTAGATTATTTCTTTCTTGTTGCTAGGTTAGTTCTTTCTTGCTGCTAGGTTAGTTGTCTTTTATTGTTAGTTGTCTTTTGTTGCTAGGTTATTTCTTTCTTGCTGCTAGGTTAGTTGTCTGATGGTGTTAGGTTAGTTGTCTTTTGTTGCTAGATTATTTCTTTCTTGTTGCTAGGTTAGTTCTTTCTTGCTGCTAGGTTAGTTGTCTTTTATTGTTAGTTGTCTTTTGTTGCTAGGTTATTTCTTTGTTGTTGTTAGGTTAGTTGTCTGATGCTGCTAGGTTAGTTGTGTTTTGTTGCTAGGTTAGTTGCCTTTGTTGCTAGTTTAGTTGTTCTTTCTTGCTGCTAGGTTAGCTGTGTTTTGCTGCTAGGTTAGTTGTCTGATGCTGCTAAGTTAGTTGTGTTTTGTTGCTAGGTTAGTTGTCTTTTATTGTTAGTTGTCTTTTGTTGCTAGGTTATTTCTTTGTTGTTTCTAGGTTAGTTGTCTTTTGTTGTTAGGTTATTTCTTTCTTACTGGTAGGTTAGTTGTGTTTTGTTGCTAGGTTAGCTGTCTTTGTTGCTATCTTTTGTTGCTAGGTTATTTCTTTGTTGTTTCTAGGTTAGTTGTCTTTTGTTGTTAGGTTATTTCTTTCTTACTGGTAGGTTAGTTGTGTTTTGTTGCTAGGTTAGCTGTCTTTGTTGCTAATTTAGTTGTTCTTTCTTGTTTTGTTTCTTGCTGCTAGGTTAGTAGTTTTTTGTTGCTAGGCTAGTTTAGTTGTTCTTTCTTGTTGTTAGGTTAGTTGTGTTATGTTGCTAGGTTTCTTGCTGCTAGGTTAGTTGTGTTTTGTTGTTAGGTTAGTTGTCTTTGTTGCTAGTTTAGTTGTTCTTAGTTGTTCTTTCTTGCTGCTAGGTTACTTGTGTTTTGTTGCTAGGTTAGTTGTCTGATGCTGCTAATTTAATTGTGTTTTGTTGATGTTGCTAAGTTAGTTATATTTTTTTTTTATAAAAAATTGTAACCTATAGGATTTGAACCTAGTACCTCATGGAGGCAAGACAAGCAATGCAACCACTACACCACTCAAGGTTGAGTATCTTTTGTTGCTAGATTATTTATTTCAATACAACGGGTCAACGCCGGAAGTCAACGGTCAACGCCGGAAGTCAACGATTCTCGCCGGAAGTCAACATCGGAAGTCAACGGTCAACGCCGGAGTCAACTAATAATTATTTTATTATTTAATTAATGTATATTTTAATTGATTTTGATCTAGACAAAATGAGTGGCTAAGATTGAGTCTCACGTACTCATTTTAAGGAGTGGTCTCATTGGATCCATCCTCTATATATATATATATGTGTGTGTGTGTGTGTGTGTGTGTGTGGTTGTAATAGTTGGTCACCGAGCAAGGGGAAACGGAGAAAAGGGTACAAAGCGGCTCATACATATTTTTCTTGCGCCAAGACTAGAGATGGGTCATGCAACTCCCAGCACGCGGAAGCTTATGAATAAGTCTATCCTCATGTTGTTATTATGTATATTTGATTTTTATTTTCATTTTACATGAGGGTGTCTCCTGTACCGTTTATGCATTAGTCACCAAGTTCTGACCGTTATTTTTCTCTTCTGCTGTTCTATTGTGAGATCAGTTGTGGAAACTACAGACGAAAATGTGTTCTAAGGTGGTAATGAAAGTTTATCCATGTTTGTGTCGTACCAGAGTATGCAGTTATTTGCATGAAGTTGTACTTCCAATCACTATATAGTGAATGCTCTCATTACATTCTGAAGTTTCGCTATAAATATTCTAAAATATGTACAGCAAAAAAATCCTTTTGGATTAATGTGATTTGTTGTTGTTATGCATGCACCTAATTCTTATTAAAATTTGATACTTATCGAATGAACACACAACTACAACAAATGAAAGAGAAAAACGAAAGAGAAAGTTTGTAGATTGTTGAATCGTATCTGAGCTCACAATTCTACCAGATGCCTGGGATTATCATTGGATATTGAGATTCTACCAGATACTTGGGATTACCATTGTGCATTGAGAAGCCTAAAAAAGAAGCATTTGACTATATATTACAAGTTGGGAGGCGAAAAATCATTAGCTGGAGAAACAAATTGTTATCTTGTGCATGTAGGGAGGTGCTAATCAAAGCTATACTAAATGCCTTGCATTTGCTATGTCCTGTTTTATTCTCCCTGCAAGTCTTTGTAAAACAATTTCCCAGCTTTGTAGCCAGTTTTGGTGGAGTAAGGGTGGAAATCAGGGTAGAAGGGTTCATTGGAAAAGCTGAAAATATTTAACTCTGCCAAATTCATGGTGGGCTGAGTTTTTAAGATGTAAAACTTTTCAATGAGGCCTTGATTCTGAAGCAACTATGGAGGTTAACAACTGAGCCTCAACTTTTGAGGTACTAAAACAAGGTATTTTCCTAACACAACCATCTTTGAGGCTAAGAGGAGCCAGGGAGCTTCATGGTTATGGAATAACTGGTTGAGAGTGCTTACATTGTTTGGGAAAGGAGCATGGAGGGAAGTAATGAATGGGTTAGAGACCAAGATCAATGACCCTTGTTGGGTTCCTCTGCAAGGACCAAAACCTCCTATGTCAAAGAGGAATTCACAGACAACCTGATATGGGTTAGAAATCTAATGCATGAGGATGTAAGATGTTGGGTGAGGCAAACATTCAATGAGCAGGACAACACTGCTATCCTTCAAATTGGCATCACAAACTCCAAGTTACCTGACATATGGAGATGGAACTTAGATTCAAAGGGGAGATTCCCAGTGGCTTCAACTTATGGCCATCCCATTTACAATAAGGTGCTCCAACTGAAGGCAATTGTTCAACCAAAGCAAATGAGGAGGCCAGAAATAGAAGTTGGAAGTTGCTGGTCAAAGGTAAAATCAAGCATTTCTTGTGGAAATGCTACTCTGGTACTCTCCCTCTTCTTGTTCATGTGCATTCCAAAGGGTTAGAGGTTGATGACATTTGTAGCTACTATAGCATTTCATGTAGTATGATTGAATATGTTTGGATTATTTTATGTTTGTGCATGATGCTTGTTTGTTTATGCTTGTTTGTGTATATTTGTTTGTATTTTTTAACTATTATCTGCTTCCGCATTTCAGAACTCGTATTTCCCGAATTCAGATTTGTATATCAGATTTCAGATTTTCAGTCTATGCATGTGTAATTTCAATAATTTTCATGGCCTTAATTCTAGAATGAATTTTACTTGGGTGCATGCGTAATAGTTTAAAGAGATATAGATTAAAGTTGAGTATTATCCTGCAGTTAAAGTTAAAAAGTTTTCGAAACAGTTAAATTGAGTTTTCAAAAATTGAATAAGTGTTTTCAAATTTATGAGTACGAAAAATTTACTTTGATTATAGTAATAGTAGGCGAGGTATTACAACTGTAATTGTGTATTGTTTGGTCTAGACCACCGTTGGGTGGATCTCTTAGTTGTTTATTTGTTGTTCAGCTAGTTTCAAGTGTACTTTTTGTTTCATTAGTTTAGTTTTTAATACATCTATCGTTCTAGAAGAAAAAAAAATCTCCTTCTCTTGTCTCTTTACAAAGCAAAAAATGATATACTACATTCTCATATATAAATAATCTATACTGTTATAAAAGGACGAGCGATTTTGTAAAAATAATGATTTGCCTAAAAAACCCTTACTTTGACATATATTTAATGGCAAATTAGTAATTCAGTAATACCCATCTTATTTTATATTTTTAATTAACAAATGATGATCTGCCTAAAAAACTCTTACTTTGAAATATTTTTAATGGCAAATTAGTAATACAGTAATACCCATCTTATTTTATATTTTTAATTAACAAATGAACTACCTAAAAAACTCTTACTTTGACTTAATTTTAATGTCAAATTATTAATACACTAATACTCTTCAAATCTTATATTTTTTAGTTAATCACTAATATTTAATTAAATAAATAACAGCGTAACATTGAAGACTATTATGATCCACGCCCAAAGTATGACTCAAATAATTCTAAATTTTACTAAAAGTGATGGAGATTGAGGTGGTCTTTGAAGAAATTGTTATGATCTCTTAGCTAAGTAGCTGTTGAAAAAAAAAAAATAACTCTTCCACAGAAGTTCACCAAAACAAATTGGTTCTTGTAAACAATATATCTACCAAATTATCTTATACAATATTTAGTCCAAATATTTTATTATATTCCATGTCTAAATGTTGTGCTAACTAAAATGGTAACTCAGAATACTACTAGAAAAGGACGAGTATTTTTGTAAAAGAAAGAACTAACTAATATACCCTTACTTTGGTATATTTTAA